CTGAAACTGAATGTTTATCACCTTTTTACTGGTTTCTCGCATAAAGTTTAGAGTGGTGATTAATGATTTTCCACAGGACAGTTAAACAGAACTGAGGAATCTGCTGGATCAGCAGCTGGAACTGATTAAATATTTTGGATCTGTAAAGTACTTTTTGACCTCTTAAAGGAAAAGTGGCAGCTTTAACATCTTTAAAACTTTTATTAAACTATTATTAATACACTTATTAAACCCTAAAAAGGCCTAAATCCACTTCACACCTGCAGCTTTTGCTGCGCTTTAATTTCAGGGATTATCGAGCTTTAATTTGTGTGTTTCCGTGGATTGATGAAAGACCAGAGCGTCCTTAATGCTGGCGCAAAAGAATGTGTGTCACTGGCTTATGATCACAACAGGACCCGACCCAGCACCGAGCTGCTGCTTAGTTGTCCACGTGACGCTGGTGATGCGCAGTGACGCGGGGGCGCGCCATTGGCCAACAGGGGAGGATAGAGCCGTTCCTGGGAGATGAAGATGGTGCTTCTGATAAAACTGTTTGTACAAATACAAGTGGCCGCTTCTTTCAAGCTAAAATACAAACAATGATGTGGTTTTCTTACACCTCTAATATTTTGTCTCGCGGATTATGACATTTTAAAGAAGGTGGATTTATTCTCATGTTGTCTCCTGAAAAACATTGGATGTTTTATTTTTAAAACGCGCCAACAATCATTTAAAGATGATGTATTTATATTTTCATTTCAACCAACACAAGTGAGCTTAATGAAATTATTTAAGCAACTTGTGAATGATTTTACAACATAAATTATATTAAAAGATGATCATGCATATCCCATACCGCGTTTAAAAAAAAAACATCCCTTCTGACAAAAACATCCCAAATGATGTCATTCATAACGCGCGCGCGCATCTCAAACAGGCCCAGATTGCCAAGTTTGTGATTTTAAATGCATTCATCTCATATCTTCAGTTCAAACTAAATCCCACCATGTCACCTCAGAATAAATACTGACAAATGCGCAGCTGTCAGCCGAGCGCAGATGCGCTTTCCGGGTTTGTGGTCACGATTTCCAAGGGTACCCTGATCTTATGTAACATCCTGTCACAGCTCATGATGCTGTCCGCTTTGCCTGGTTTTTCAAAACAAATGAGGGAAACTAAAAATCATATAGCCTCTATGAGTAGAAACTAACAATCCAACAGATGACTTTACCTTTCAGAGCGCTTTCTAGCATTCTCCCAGGAGGAGCGCCGTCTTGCGCCGCGGTGAAGATGCGCTTGGAAAGCCGGTTGTGCGCGCGCACATTGACCTTTGGTTTGTCATTCGCTGCCAGTCAAAGGTCAAGATGTCAAATGTCCATTGAGACGCGCTGTCCTGCAAGGATTCCCCTTTAAATCCCTGTTAACATGTCGGTTTAAAACGCACAGAGGAAGCGCCGAGCTGTACGGCATCACCACGCACACGCAGCTAATCGCATATTGGCGTCGGATCAGCAAACCAGGTTGGTGGATCTATAAAAAATATGGATGCGCGTTAGTGAGGGCGCAACAGTGGTGAGGGTGTTGTGGATCTGTCCAGCTGCGTCTCGCTGCTTCCTGGTAGTCACTGGAAAACCTGAACTGGAGTTTAAAGATTGGATGAGCGACGCGTCCAAACCACAGATATGATCCCAACAAACATATCCCCAATCCTGATCCGCGTGGTCAGCTGTCACATGTTTTAGGGGTTACTCTGCTTCATATAAATTGAGAAGAACAAAAAAAAGAAAATAGTATTTAAAAAAACTGCTAGGTTGTGAAGAATATCAGTGGTTCATTCATTCATTGGTTAGGATACATATCCATCAGTTCATTTTATTTTATTTTTTATTATTACCTTTCTTACTGCATCCCTAGTGGGATACATTTTCCATTACATATATCTTAGATCCTTATAATGTTTCTTCTTTAAACTTTATATTTTTGCTGTCACCTCCACCCATTGACTAAATATAAGTTCAAGTTCCTCAGTATATTGTGGACTAGGTTTTCAGACTGCACCAACATGTACAGTGTACACGTTAACTTCACATAAAACAGACATGCACAATGAGACAATAGATTTATTGTTCTTGAAATGTGGTGCACCACACAATGCAGAAACGGTACATGAAAAGCTGCAGCATACGAGTGTATAAATCAAACACTTTAGCACCACAAAGATCCATTCCTCCTCCCAAATTAAACATGGCATCCATCACACCAGAATCCCCATGTGGATTAAACAACTCCCTCTTCTCTCTAACCAGTGCATGACAACTGGTTCCACGATGACAATAAAGTCAGCTAAAAATATACACGCCAAACATTTACAACTCTCACATCCCAGATGGCATAAAAATAATTTGGAAGAGAAAATACACATTTTCTGCTCCCTATAAATTTGTAGCCGTTTAAAAGGTTTGTACTGGAACAGATGTGACAATTTTAAAGAAAGTTACAAAACTGGAAGGCCTGTGTTATTACAGAACTGGGAAAATGTTTCAACCTTATCTTGCTCATTGGTTGGTCATATAGTGTGCAAAGTTATTACTTTCTAAACTGTTCTCTTTGGTGGATAACTGTTTTTATTGGGAACAAAAATAAGCTATAAAAAAAGTGAGCAGCTTGATAAGTTCACTCAGAAACCTTGATTTACACCATCAGTTATAATCATCTACAAAAATAATGTGAAAGTGTCAGAATCATAAAATTATCTTGTTCTTTTATTACAAAGCAAAGAAGCTGTGTAAGAAAAATAGCAGACTTTATAAACGAAAACATCCAGGTGGCATTGCTATTAAAGAAATGTAAAACTGAAGGCATCTACCATGGAGCGCTCCAAAGCAACAGCGGTGGTCTGCAGAACTCATCCAGCACTGACCCAGTGACATCATTCTGTAGCCCAACGTTAAAGCCAGCATCTCACTGTGCTGTGCACAAACGGCATTCACGAGTGTTTCCAAGATGTCTGGAAACATTTAAGGGTGGTCACATTATCCTTGTGGTTGTATGTCATATTCTTTTGCTAAGGTTGAATATTTCCTGAATAATGCTTGTTAACAGCATAATAACGTCTTAACCCCTCAGACAGAACTACAACACAGAGAATGGATGAATGCTAACGGCTCACAAAAAATAAATTGAAGGGAGAAGCAATGAATGAACAAACGTGTAAAGCTGAGTTGTTGATGTTTTTGTAAACCTAAAATGAAAAACTTCCAACATATTTTGGACTTTTTGAAAAACTGTGATTATTAGATTTAAGTCTTTATAACGTTTTAGGACCTGCAGTACCCTGTTCACAGGAGGTATCCTCTGAGTTTTCCTTATGACACCTGTGTTGATGCGTACAGGCCATAGTCTAATGCCTTGGTCGGAGTGCTTGCCCCCACTCAAGGCTCACCCCCCTGCCTCACCAGAGAAGTGAATAAAATAAAAAAGGTAAGGGTAGTGCCATTTTCCATGGTTGACTGAGCAACAACAGGTCTGTGATGCTGTCTGGGGGTGAACCCACACCACACTAATTAATAACCTACATTTTGTTTATTTACTCCAACTCGTTCAGTTATAATTGGTGTAGGGGCGCACGATATTATCGGCATGGTATCGGCTGATATTAGCGTTAAAGTTAAATATAGGCCATTCCATCAAAATAACTCACCGATATAAAAGGCGCTGTAAGACAACCCAGTGACAAGGATGGCTGCAGCGCCAGCACAACGTTATGATGTCACGCATGCGGTCGGCCGTTGAGTTTAGATTTGTGAATTTACAAATTTGCACTGTTCCGAGTGTTGTCATTGTGTTAGAGTAAATGTCATGAATAAATTTGACATTAAACATAATTCAAGTTGAAGTGTTACATTATTTTCAGTCCCCTTTTTGGCATCTGCATTTGGTAGCAGGACAAACTGACAAAGACCATGCAGAATAATGTGGTATTCTAATTCCACAACAGAGAAAGCTGCAGTATGTAGTCTCTGCAAGTAGGTCTAGGGAAAAAATATGGTATTGGTATCAGTTATCGGCCAAATAACTTTTAACACGTCGGCATATCGGATATCGACCAAAAATCCAATATTGTGCATCCCTAAATCGGTGCATAAATACACACAAACCGCAGGTTCTGTCTTGTATGGAGAACCCTGCATGCCAAAGTGGGTGTGATGCAGGCAAAAGGGGGGAAAAAAAATAGCGTGGCCAGCTGAGACTGATTTGCAAACCTCGCACATGAAAACAGACCATTATTTTCTAAATTTGTCCTCACAAATCATGTCTGCACTGCTCACTGGTTGCTTGGTGGCAAACGGATAGAATTCAGTGTAACTGCAACTGGAAAGTCATTTTCTTGCCATTTTTAATGGCCAACTAGTCTGCCAGTTGCAGTCAATTGAGATACTGGTTGAACATTAAAAAAAAAAAAAATCTCATTTCACACTACCTTTGAAGCTAATGCATATAGAATGACTGAGCTGGTAAAGAACTAAAAGTCAGTTCAGGAAATGTGCAACAGGTGTAAGAGATAACTGGATGCATATTGTTTAGTAAAGGACACACTGGTAAGTAGAAGTATATGACTCAAGACCTGAAAAGATAAAGTAATTCAATAATTCACGTTTGTTCCATTAAAACATACTTTACATGGCAACGTCTAAAAACAGTTTGGTCTTACATATCCCATATGATACCTTCTGTTTTTGGTTTCCACTGAAATATCAATAAAGCTATTGAAGAAATCCTGTTTTTCTCTTTAGATTTTTTTTTTGTTTTAGTTTCTTCAGTGTGTGTGCAATTCAACAAATAAAAATAAGAAAGATAAAAAATGTAAAAAATAAAAAAAACACAACAAAAATGGCTTGAACCATTAGATTGTTTCATTAAAAAATGCAGAATTTATCACAATCTTAAAGACAAAGTCTTAGAGAGATTTGCACAAAGCCATTTATCTGAAAAAAAAAAATAAATCAGCAAACTCTTGATTGGTCTCTTCCATCTTGGTCAGAAAAAAAAAAAAACACGTTTGTCTTCTCTGTATTTTTCCATTCAGGCCTGACTCAGGGTGTTTGTGTTCGGCAGTTCTCTGATGTGCATCTTGGTGCTGAAAAGAGAATTGATGTAAGGCCAAATCTTGTCGGTATCCGTGCCGGAAAACGAGTGCAGGATTCCTTGTGACCTGAGTGAAGAGGGATGAGAATAAAAGAAGTGGAAAAACAGGTTGTGGCTACACACGCACCACGTAAACTAAAGACTTCACTGTTCAGTTAACACACACAAAGCAGTGAGGGGAGGGAAGGGGGTGAGATGCATCAAATTGCAACAACTTGCTGTTCACTAAGAAATTTCAGCTTGCAGATGTAGGACACTCATCCTTATAGTTAAACTACGGCACTGCATAATTTTATTTTTTAAGTAAATTAATTAAATACACAGTAGATGAGGTCTGAGGGTTGAAAAATAACTGCTAACTCTCATCAGGTACTAATACCATTAGCTGGCTCCAGCAAGTACATCTAATACGACTACCAAAAAAAAAAGTATTTACTAACTTGTACAAGTCTATCACAGGCTTCGCCACTTCCTTGTAATGTCTCAGTCTTGCCATCAGAGCTTCTGGTTTGTCGTCGTCATGCTGAACCAGCGGCTCCCCCGTGACGTCATCTTTACCCTGAAGATCACATTCCAGCAATAAAGCATCGAAAAAGACTGTAATCTAAAAAAATACTTTCATCAAAATAAAATAATAATGGACAACAAAGCTCTAGTTGTGTACTGCATTTAAAAAAGGGGTATTTGAAATCATTATAATCCTCTATAGTCTTAATATTTTTTTCATGTATAACTTAAAATAAATGTTGTTACATTAGTTGTAGTTTTTTTTCTTTGACAAAAAATATACAAGAGTTGTGTGCACAGAAAAATAAATTTATTTTCCTATTCATTACAACTGAAACCATTGTTTTTATCTTTATTGTACTTTATAAGTCTGAGCTTAAGGCTTCAGGTTTCCTCATCGCAATAATGTAACTGGCTTATTCCTCTAAAGTTAGACATTTATTAAGTGCTTTAATAAGTTCAATATGGTGAGTACATTATGGTCACTATTTGGTTTATTCTAATGTCTGTGAAGCACTTTATAAAGATGTCCTTAAGTTATTTTATATATGCACTGAGTTGAAATATGAAAGATGAGATTAAATATTTGACATTTACGAGACAAAGAGGTGATATGAGCTGTGAGACAAACATAAAAAAGCATATTATGAGTTGAGATAGAAGAGCTGATGTGACTTGAGATAAAATATGAGACTGCACAAATAATGAGAAAAGACCTAAAAGTTGGGGAAACGAGACATGAGATGAAATACAATATATGAGACGGACATAAAGAGGTGAGGTATGAGCTGAGAAATGAGACACAAGGAGGTGAGACATGACATCTGATGTGAAATGATAAAATATATGAAGGTAAGGAGGTGAAATGTGAAGATGTGATGAAATACGAGAGTTGAGATATGAGATAAAAATGAAAGTGAAACATGAGATAGACATGATGAGGTGAGATTAAATTAACTGAGATTAGGCTATATATATCAGCTATTAGCATTGAAAAGTAGAAATATTAGATCAAATATGAGATGAGATACAAGGATACTAGTTGAGATATGGAATTAGATAAAAACTTTTAACTAAGTATCCCTATATGTCACTACTGTTAGTTAGTTGGTAAAGAAACAACAGTTTTTTTTTTTTGTCTCAGGCAAGTTTTTATGCTGCCGATTCAACACATTTAACCCTCCAGCTCCCCTTTGGTCAAAATGACCTGCAAGGCATTGGTTTTGAAAGTGAGGCCTTGTGGGCCATTTTACCCAAGAGCAGCAAGAGGGTTAAACACCTCCAGCTTGAAAACTACACAATGCCTCTGGAGAAAAAACAAAATGAACCTCAGAACCTCTGCATTGCTGAACTGAACATTTGAAAGGCTGCAGGTTTATAGGTATGTATAAATGTCTGACACCTGAACTCGAGGTGGGTTGAAGCTCATGTTGTAAACTCTACCACTGGTCGGATGGATCCAGCGGTCACTCAGTCTCTCTCTCAGAGTCTCGTAGGGGATGTTGAGGCTGATGGCTAAGTCCAGCTGATACAGGTTGTTCAGGGCCTGAGCCTGCGCCAGCGTGCGAGGGAAACCTGGGCACACAGAGGGAGAAATGAGAATCTGTGAGACAAAATTTACCAGGAAAAAACAACTTTTTTAAACAATAGCACGACCTATGGTTTTCCTGTTGACTGGATACAAAACTGAATGGAGCATTAATCAAATTTTGATTATTACATTGGTTTATTAGTTTCTGACAGTGCTGTTTTGTGTTGAAAAGTTGCTATCAGCAGCAAACATGGAAGAAACTTGGACTCACTGTTCCAGTGAAATCATTTATTATATACTGGTAATAAACACAATTATTGACTTTTGAATTAACTTAAAAATAAGAAAAATGTTTGGTAACACAGAATGACAGAAATACAAACGACACATGACTAGCAGGAAATGCTAGCTGTTCTGTAAATTTAAATGGGTAAATTATAAAATTAGCATGCAAGATCAAACATCCTGGTGCTTAATTGGTTTATTCAAACAATGTGTAACCTAGGCCTGTCACGATAACAAATTTTGCTGGGCGATTAATTGTCTCAGAAATTATCGCGATAAACGATAATACTGTTTGAAATTTGACAATAATTACTAATTATTGTCAAATTTAAGGGGAAATGTTAAATTTGTTTTGCATGCAGTACCTTTTTTCAACCACCGGATGGCAGTATAAGACTGTTTGACCCGAAGGATGGATAGTGAGAGAGCGAGCAGCGTGTCTCTTTAAGAAAAATGGGAGGGAGGCCCCTTGATGCGCCATCTCTCTTCAGTTCTCAAAATGGTGCTCGGTGTGGTTTGAGCTCTTTAGCATAGCATTTTTCACACAAAACTTTTAATAGAAAATCAGTAAACAAGTTCTCAGCTTCTTTTTGCAAAGACAAACTTTTTACACAAAGGCACAGGTTTCAACCATGAATTTTGGAGCTTCGACAGGATGGAAGTTTTTTTTCCCCAAGGTTGGTCTGTTAGCTTAGCTTCTCTGCTTATTAGTAGAAAGAGAGACATGATGAAACGATAAAGCCAATAAATGAAAATGAGGTCGATAATTTTTATTTATCATGCGATTAATTGATTTATTGTTTACTGTGACAGGCCTAGTGTAACCTGCTGGTATAAGCAGATAAGTGCTATGTGTTTTCATTGTATGTTCCCATACAATAGAGAAATTGGTTCCATGCATTTAACCTATCGCACCTGGGATACACAAAGGTGGAGCAGTGGGCGGCCATGTAGGCGCCCAGGGAGCAATTGCTCAGCAATTAGCAAATAGCAATTGCTATCTTGCTCAGAGACACCACGTCATGTGGGAATGGCTGGGAATCGAACTTGGGACTTTCGGGTCCCAAGACGGCTGTCCTGCCTCTACCTCATCTCGGCCCACATAATAATGTAAGGAAACCAAACATGGCTGATGGGAACCGATCAAATCAAAGTTCTCTCAGTTGCCTCATTTCACAGGCATCAGTTTGTTGGTTGAGGATTTTATTCTGCAGAAGTTCCGCAAATCAGAAAAAAACCTGATCTTCTTCTAACTCATCAGGCTCGTGCCGATGTGTCTGTGCCTAACCTGGATCTGTGTTCCCTATACTCAGGCACCTGTTTAATAATTAAGTGTTAATGTTTCAGACCTGCTAAACATAGTTTGTTTCATCAATGTTTGCAAAGTCTGAAAATATTTAACATAGGAAAAACCCCTATTTTGTTATCCACAAAACTCCCCAAGCCTTCAAAAAAAAAAAAAAAAAAAAAAAAAATTATATATATATATAAACTAAACATGTTACTGGTAAGTACTTCTCTATTACTGTTCAACAACCCTAACCACAGACGTTTCACCTCACCCAGCAATTACAAACATTTCATACCACCACTTTACCACACCAAATTGTGTAAGTACACAGAACCTTCACAGTGCCTTCTAGAGCGAATGAAATGTTTCATTCAAGTAGATGAGACTGGAATTACAGTTGGACAAGCACATCTGACTATTTATTGACCCATTCTGCTGTTTAGAAAGGAATGGCTGACGTAAACCATGACTGCACGTTCCTATAGCTTTAGAATGAACTTTGTGTTTGTTGTTCTCCCTAGGAGTGAGCTTGCTGTTCTGAGATGAGACTAAACATCATACCTGCAGAAATCCCCAAGGTTCACCAAAATGTTTTTGTCATTTGATATTTGCGACGTCACAAAAGAAACAGCTTTTAAAAAACTTATTACAAACCAAAAGATTTACGGTCTGGCATTTCTTGAAAGAATGCATATTTCCTGCCACCTTTCATGCCACAGATTTAAATTTAGATGCAGGTTTCAACCTCATTAATTAAATTATGCACCATCTGGTGCAACATTGTAAGATCTCACAAGATGTGTTAGCTCTCAGAGAATGTTCTGAGGCTGACTCTCAGCTACTGTCCGACCCAGACTTAGCTAAATATTTGTAAAAGTGACTGAGTTACAGCCTTTTTTGTGTTGGTTAGTTTTGATTAACTGTGGCATCTTTATTTGACTTGACCGTAAATGTTAATAAAAATGTAGATTTACAATCAATTCAATTGTCTGAGAGTTTTAATCAAATGGTTTATGAGATGTTTTGCAAATGCTATAAATAAACACAAAGAAAACGCTTTATTGCCTCTTCACCTCGTGTCTCAGGTTCGTTAAAGACGACCTGGATGTTCTGTGGATAGATGAAATAAACTTTGCCACATCAATGGAATAAAAAAGAAACAAAATCAAGACCAAACCCTTATAACTGGAGTTATTATTTTAGCTTAAATCCTTAAACACACACACACACACACACACACGAGTCTGCAGGTGCAGCAGTGTGACCCGAGAAGACTGAGTGAAGCAACAAGAACCCAAAGCACTCGAGTAAATCAACAGCTAACGAGTTGAAAGAGGAGAAAATATCTTACCATAACTATGTTAGATGTGGTTCAATGACTTGGAAAATGTTTGATTACCCAAAAAAATAAAAATCAAGGTCTGAACAAAATTTCCTAAAATTCCACATATATTTGTGTCTATGTGAGAAACATGTTTTTTGTTTGTTTGTTTGTTTGTTTGGTTTACAAGTACTTTTGGCACCAAATTTAAACATTGAACAAAGAAAACAGAAATATCCAGCGAGTACCAAATTACTTCGGTAAATGCGCTTTTATAATCTTATCATCTTTAAGTCATTCAGAATAATCCAAGTTTTATTGTTTTATAAACTTTGACCCACTCTGTATCAGAATAATGCATTCATCACTCAGACAGAAGTGTAAAAAATCACCAACATGAAGCCTGCCTGTATAAATGAGCTTTGTGAAGGGGTGGCATCTCCACTGGCCAATCAGATTCCAGGGTTGGCTGGCAGTTCTTTTTAATACCATGGCTTAGCATTTTAAAGAACATGTTTCATAACAACAATTCAAGAGAAGGAATTTATTAGTATAAATTCAGTTTATCAGGGTGTGTCAGTGGAATGCAGGAAATAAAGAGCACAGTAGCAAAAGCAGATATTTTTCTTACCGTCCAGCACCCAGCTGTGGCTGCTCATCTGTTCCACTTTGGGCAGTACCAGTTTGGTCATCACATGGTCAGGAACCAGCATGCCTTTCTCTACGTAGCTCTTCACCAGCAGCCCGGCCTCTGATACACAACAAGTAAATACAATTGTGGCAAAGATTCTGCTGCCTCATACTACAGATTAAACCTAGAACAAGACAGAGCAGCTCCTGCTGTATCACCATCACTATCCGAGGGGAGTTCCTGCAACTTAAAGCCTTTAGCCTTTAAATTTACTTTGGAAACAGAGGGGGTCCCTGTGGACAAATGTCCTTTCAGAATCACCAAAGGGTGTTACTTTCTCTAACAGTCACAACTTTTGCTGGTTTTTTTTCTTCTTCTTCTAAAAGCCAACTGTGCATTGTTTAAAGATTTGGGCTGAACTTCACTTTGCGGCTGTTCGGTTTTAAGTTTGGCACATGCTGAGAATTATCCAGGCGAGTACTCTGTAATGAGGAAGTTCAGAGGGATACAACCAACGGTTCCAGATGTTTTGAGGAAATTATGTTAAAGCAATAATACATTTTAAAAGCAAGAGAGGAATCTAGCAAAATCTTGTCTTTCCTCTCAGCCTGGCATGCGACAAGTTCACAGACAAACGTAGAAAGAACAGAAAAAAATCCCTCCAACTGGCTCGTTTTACAACTTCCTGCATCAGTGGCTTTGTTGCCACATTCACTCGAGGAAAACCATAGAGTTAAGACAACTAGAGTGCACTCCCTGACCCTCGGCTTGCATCTGCGACATTGTGGAGGAGAAAAAATGGCGTCCAAAAAGGGCAACAGCTCACAGCCGATAAAGCAACTATTTGATTAACAGCAAGCCCAAATGGATCTGACACAAATTATTTGTAATATTTTAACAATGAATAGAATCGATTATTACTGGGCAGCACGGTGGCACAACTGGTAGAGCTTTCTGCCACCATGCTAAAAAGGTGTTGCATAACAGCGCTGGAATAATGCATATTTATTATGATTTACTTTCATGTAGTTGACACTTAGAAAATGTTCACTGTATACCCGGTGATACTTTGGCTGAAACTTGTCTCTACTGATATTGGCTAACCATCTTAATAAGTCACGTTTGTGTAATAGAAACCTAAAAATAGTCAAATATATAATATTACTTTACACTGTAGATATTACATAAATCAGTTTGTTCTTCTTTTGGCTGCTCCCTTCTTCAGGGGGTCACCGCAGCGAACACAGTCGCACAAAGAATTGGCAATTATTTTTACGCCGGATGCCCTTGCCGATGCAACCACAGACCACCGAGCTACCACTCCCCTCTGTGTGGAGCAGAGAGCTGCCAACAAGGGTGTCAGGGGGAGCAGATGGTGGAGGTTAAGGGCCTTGCTCAAGGGCCAAGAGCGGGGCAAATGAGGGTGGAAGCAGGTGTGTTTCACCTATCCCACCCACCTTTTGATGTTGTAGGTACGGGGAGTTGAACCAGCGATCTTCCAATTACAGGCCCACCTTCTCTTACTGCACCACCACACTCTCCTGAATGTATTATTTATAATGTGTGCTAAATTGTATTATGACTCAGCATTACACTGTGCTTCCACAGAAGCTAATACCTGCAAGACAATTAAATAATTAACAGTGATTACATCGGCTTTACGGACCAGTTTTCATTTGAAACAGTTACATTATTAGCGTCAATCATGCTCGGGTCACATTCACATTGAGGTCAAATAAGATCAAATCTGCTTACTTTAGAAATGAGATGCATTCCTTTTTCTCTTTTAGCCTATTCTAATATTATATTAAGATCATCGTTAATATTTGTAATACTACAATTCTTACATAATCAGCCCTTCCTGTTGGCTGTTAGGCCTACATCTAATGCGAAGTCCAGATGTTTGCCCTTTCTGGTTATGGCTCCCGTCCCCACTCCAGTGAATCACAAGTCACGTGACCCACGCTCCCTCTGCTCGTTTTATTTAACTCTTGAGCGAAACGCAACAATCGTGAAGCGTGAAGAAGAGAAAACGACTTGCAGCCTTCAGGCTCTTCCTGTTGACGCTGCGGGGGCTCGTCGTGTGGCTTTCTGTTTCTATCAACAGATCGTTTTCTCTTACCTGTTTTGGCTGCTATGCCCTCGTGTACAAAGTGCCCGCTGGACAAGTACTGCAGGCCAAAAGTCTGCGCGATCCTCTTGGATATTGTGCCTTTCCCCGATCCTGGTGGACCCATGACAACAGCACGGAATAACTTTGCCATGTCTTCTTCCAAACAACAACAATCTAACGCCAATGATGCTCAGATGTAGATGATCCTGCTCGTGTGCGAGTTCAGTTCCGACCTGCACACATGGAGGGTGCTTAAAGAAAACAAACCAACTCGTGAAAACTCTTGAGGTTTTTGCGTGCCACTGGAGTCTGGGGGTGTTTTTACGCACGGCCCCTCTCTCTGCAAGCGCGCATATGGGTTCTTCTCCTCCTCAGACCCGAATGAGGTCAAAACGCCTTTTATTTTCCTTCCCTCTTAGCTCTGCTGAGGATGTGCGTCGTCACTGCGTCTTTAAGAAAGCGAGCTTTTCCTCCGCGAATGAGTGACGAAGAAACCACAACGCCCTGTTTTACTGCGCGCATCACCCAGAAAAAATGCGGACGTCGCGGGGGAGGATGGCTCTTGTAGTTTTTACGTGGTGGATTTTGTAGGCAGATGGAAAAACTCGGAGCGGCTCCTGTAAAAAGATTATTGTAAAATATTTTTTTTAATCTTCAGCTCTTTCATGAGCTGAAGATTAAAAAAATAATAATTCTTAATGATTATAGCCCATAAGAAAATTGTTTTGAATTTGAAATTGGTTGGCTTTTTTAACAGAATTATTATATGCAAATTAAAGCAAAAAATATAAAAAGGCAAAAAGTAGCTAAAAGGTTAATATCAGCAAAACAGTGGCTATAAATTTAAATTGCCAAAAGATGTTGCTGGAAACTTAAAAAAAAGCAAAATGCAAAACTTATCAAAACCATAAAACTGAAACGAGAACATCTAAAAGCTAAAAGACAATCTGCTAAACCGTATAGCTAAAGGTTAAATTAGCAAGACATTATCTTAAAGTTTAAATTAGCATAATAAATAAAAAAAATAAAGCAAGTATGCTGAATTAGGTTTCAGAGAACAATTTTTATCAAGGAATAGGAAAGACCTCTCTGGAATTTCAAATACTATTTTTTGTAAATAACGTTAAATATCCATCCATCTATCCATCATCTTTATCCCATCTTCTTTTTCAGGTCATGGGAGTCACCGGTGTCCATGTCCAGCTATCACTGGCAAGTCAGTCATTCACATAATGTTAAGCAATTTAAAAATATCTAAATATATATATATATATATATATATATATATATATATATATATATATATATATATATATATATATATATATTGTATGTATGTAAGTGTGTAAATGTATTTGAACCAGAAAAATCCCATTTAGATAATAATTTTTACAAGGGAGGCCAAAGGGAGACCATGGCCAAGACAGGCGGCAGAAACACAGATACAATGTTACACAGTTAAAATAGAATCAACATTCAAAAAACAAAATAAAAACAAAACAATTAAGTGAAAGTAGTGCATGTTAATGACTCAGCCTGAATTAGTCTCAGTTTAGCTTTGAAAAGTCCTCAGTGAGTTTTCCAGTGCCTCTGTAATTCCATGCACAAGGCGCAAAGTGACAAAACATTGTTTTTATCCATCTCAGTGCAGGTCAATGGAACAGAGAATACAATTCAGTGGTTTATAGTTTGTGATGAATCTTGGAGAAATGTGGAAAATAATGTCAATAATAGACATAGGTAGAAGAGTTCATATGTAGAAGATCTCCATCCATCACAGGTAAAATCACTGCTGCAACAAACTTCTTTTATCTAAATAAAAGACAAACACAATTTATTTTGAAAATTAAATAAAAAAACTAGTTTAGTTTTCTTCCCATGTTTGTCCACATGTGGCTTGAAAGTGAGTGACTACAAACAGTTAAGTATTGAGCCAGATGTTTTGATATATCAATTGTTAAAACAGCCCAAAGTACAAGGTTCAAGTAAAAAAAAAAGTATAAACAGAAAAACAGTAAAAGGATGCTGACTCGGCATTCACTTTAAAAGTTATTAAAATCATTATATGAAAAACATCTCTAGCTGAAATGTTTTCATTTAGAAGCAACATTTTAAAGTAAAAAAGGGGATATTACAGATGTTATAAAGTTTTTTTGTTTGTTTGTTTGTTTTTTTGAAGGTTTGAGAAATATTAACTTTGGAGAAAAAAAAATATGTGTATTGGATAAGTCAGTCTAACTGCTAATCTGAACAGCCAAGACCAAAGTAAACTACTGCAGTCCCAAAACAGCTTAAGTCTCAAAATTACAGTGGCTCCTGCAAAAAATGGTTTTATTTTCATACCAACATAAACTCCTTGTAATACAGTTATGGTTGTTTGCCGACATATATGGCAACAGCAGCTAAATGTATCACTTCCTGTGCAGCCTGGGGTCAAAACCAGCAAAGATTGTACACAAAATACCTTTGACTGCTAATACAGAATTAACTGCAATGTAAAGGCTTAGATAAAATCAATTACATGAAAAACATTTTTGAAATTAAAGCTGTAGATATCAAAAATCCCCTTTGGCTGGTTGCACTCAGACTAGACTTTAGCTCATCTGCCATGTCAAACATGAACCCTGTTTCTCTAAACTGAGGCCTTCTTTACACTATTTTTTTCAATCACTCTTTGCATTTGTCTTTTCTAAAAACGTTCCCTGCAAACACAACGCTGTTTTTAAAATGTCTTCATAGAAACACTGAAAATGATCCAAAATGCCGTCGTAGCTGTGCCAGGCCTGTATGTGGTGTTGCTGCTAGGAATGTACAAGAAAAACAGGAAACAAGGTGGAGCATGCACATACTGTACAATGGTAAACTTTAGACAGACAGACAGACAGACAGACAGACAGACAGACAGACAGACAGACAGACAGACAGACAGACAGACAGACAGACAGACAGATAGATAGATAGATAGATAGATAGATAGATAGATAGATAGATAGA